TCAAAATGTTAAGATTTATAATACATTGGAAATTAGATTCTTTGCAATTGCTTAAACTTGTGATGAATCATTATAGATGTCAACTGAAAAATGTACAAGGGAGAACATGCATTAAAAAAAATTTTTTAAGGGCTTGAGAAGGGAAAAGTGAAGATCACTGCTCTAGATGGATTGCTTCGTTTCCTTCTGGAGGGCCAAGGACCATTCACTAGAAGGTAATTTATTTTAAACCTTTTCTTTGTAGTTTAATGAAGCAGAAGTTGATTCATACTTCACAACTTCATCTGTATTAGGACTGATAACTAATAAACTCTGCAAAAAAAAAAGTGTGCTTATGGAAATTACGTGGATGTGTTTTGTATGTGCACGGCATTTTCTATCCATTCTCTGTCCGTGAAAGACAAATATGTCTGTATAGTACAAAGATACTTTTGCTGTTGTCAGTACTTATCAATATAGCTTATGTCATAGCAATAATTAAATCATTCACTCTGATATCAGCCTCCAGTTCCTGTTAATTTTTAGTCTATGTGACCTATGTCTATAATCTATTTTTTAAAATTAATTTTATTTATTATCAGACCTCTAGGCAGTGAAAGCGTGGAGTTGCAACCACTGGACCTCCAGGGAATTCCCTGGTATGACTTTTATTAGCAGGAATAGCTACCAATGAAACTCACTTTGGTGTATATTGCTCACACACTATTAGAACTGCGCAGAGGCCCATACACTGGATGTGCTCTTACGTCTCAGTTCTCCAAGGCTTTGCTGACATGCTTTGCTGCCAGCTTTACCTGAAGCAGAAAGTTTTCATTTCTTATCAGTTACATTGAAGTGCATATATGTATCTTCTCAAAGATGATCATTTTATCTGTTCAAAATGGTACACATAAAATGTAAAATATGCATGAACAAAATAAAAAAGTGAAAATCCTGAGATCAGGAATAAATGGAGACAAGGATTTGTAGTCCTACTTTAAGCTTTAAGTATATCAATAATTCTTTTGAAATTTACATCTGGAAAAACCTACACATTTAGAGTGTTTTCTTCTCCCTCAATTTATGCAATATTACTATATGACAACTTTATGGCTAGAAGAGTTTAATTTTTTTTCTTTTATTGAAATATAGTTGATTTACAATATTGTGTTAATTGCAGGTGTATTGTGTTAGTTTTCAGGTGTATGGCTAGAAGAGTTTAATTTTTCTTTCATTGAAGTATAGTTGATTTACAATATTGTGTTAAGTTTCAGGTACAAAGTGATTCGGTTATACATATCTATATATTTAAGTGTATACTTTTTAAAAATTCTTTTCCATTATAGGTTATTACAAGATACTGAATATAGTTCCTTGTGCTATTCAGTAAATCCTTGTTTATTTTTTTATATGGTAGTGTGTTTCTGTTAATCCCTCCATCCCCTTTCCCTTTGGTAATCATAAGTTTATTTTCTATGTCTGTGAGTTTGTTTCTGTTTTGTAAATAAGCTCATTTGTACTATTTTTTAGATCCCACATATAAGTGATACCATATGATATTTGTCTTTCTCTGTCTGACTTACTTTACTTAGTATGATAATCTCTAGGTCCATACACATTGCTGCAAATGGCATTACTTCATTCTTTTTTATGGACGAGTAATATTCCATTGTATATGTGTACCACATCCTCTTTATCCGTTCACCTGTTGATGGACACTTAGGTTGCTTCCATGTCTTGGGCTATTGTAAATAGTGCTGCTTTGAACACTGAGGTGCATTTATCTTTTCAAGTTAGAGTTTTTGTCTTTTGCAGATACATGCCCAGGAGTGGGGTTGTTGGATCATATGGTAACTCTATTTTTCGTTTTTTAAAGAACCTCCATACTGTCCTCCATAGTGGCTGCACCAATTTGCATTCCCACCAACAGTGTAAGAGGGTTCCCTTTTCGCCACACCCTCTTCAGCAGCATTTATTATTTGTGGACTTACTATTTGTGACCCGTGTGAGGTGACACCTCATTGTAGTTTTGATTTGCATTTCTCTAATGATTAATGATGTTGAGCATCCTTTCATGTGTTTGTTGGCAATGTATATCATCTTTGGAGAAATGTCTCTTTAGGTCTTCTGCCCATTTTTTGATTGGGTTGTTTGTTTTTTTGATATTGAACTGCATGAGCTGTTTGTATATTTTGGAAATTAAGCACTTGTTAGGCACATCATTTGCAAATATTTTCTCCCAGTCAGTAGGTTGTCTTTTTGTTTTGTTTATGGTTTCCTAGACGAGATTAATTTTTTGAAGAGGTTTTTATTGTGAAAAATGAGAAAAAAAAAAAAAAACACCCCATGAATTAACAGAATAGATTATTCAAAACCAAGATTACCTGAAACAGAGAAGTGGAAAAATGGACAATGATAAATAAAATCTGTGGCATATCCCAATGCACTTTTGGTATACATAGATACTCAAAATAAAATTTATCATTATTGTTATTTTTAACAACTCAGTCCCTTCAGTAAATACAGTTGCCTTGAAATATGACCGTGAAAGATAGCTAGGAGTAGATGTAAACATTTTCATTTTTAATACATTTTAAAGAAGCAGCATAAATTGCTTTATTACACATACATTATTTTAAATAATTAAATAACATTTTATTATTAAACATGAAGCAAAATTGTTGAAAGATGTTGTCTCATTATCCTGCCAATCTCCAGTTAATCAAGGCCTTATTCAGTATCCACTAGGGCTCAGCACACCCAAAAATAGTGTTTAATGATGTACAAAAACAGATCCAGTTAAGGCTTTGTTGTGATTGTTACATGTTATACTGTTATATGCTATTTTTCAGAGCTATATTGAAACATATTAGCTCAATATTTCTGTCTCACTTTATAGAAAATAAAATTTCACTTATCAGTGAAAAGGAAGAGGCAAAAGGCAAAAATAAGAAAGAGAAAGAGACATTTAGCATTGATCAAGACGTAAGCCTCGGAACCTCTTTTTCAGAAAGCAGTGGAGATTAGCAAGAATGGAAATGAAAAAATAAGAAAATTGAATTCTCAGTGTTGACACAGTTCCTAAAAAGTAAGATAATTAAAAGCAGCTTTTTAAAAAGAAAATTATTTTATTTTTGGCTGCACTGGGTCTTCATTGCTGTGCACGGGCTTTCTCTGGTTGGGGCGAGCGTGGGCCACTCTTCACCGTGGTGCATGGGCCTCTCATGGCGGTGGCCTCTCCTGTTGCGGAGCACGGGCTCCAGGCGCACAGGCTTCAATAGTTGTGGCACGCGGGCTTAGTTGCTCCGCGGCATGTGGGATCCTCCCGGACCAGGGCTCCAACCCGTGTCCCCTGCATTGGCAGGCGGACTCCCAACCACTGCACCACCAGGGAAGCCCAAAGGCAGCTTTAAAAATTTTTTTTTTCTATTTTAATTTTTAAATTTTGGTTGCGCCTGGTCTTAGTTGCAGCAGGTGGGCTCCTTAGTTGTGGCTCTCTGGCTCCTTTAGTTGGTGGCACGTGCTCCTTAGTTGCGGCCTGTGGGTCCCTTAGTTGTGGCATGCATGTGGAATCTAGTTCCTGACCAGGGATCGAACCCGTGTCCCCTGCATTGGAAGGCAAATTCTTAACCCTGTGACACCAGACAAGTCCCCTAAAGGCAGCTTTAAAAAAATTTTTATTTTAAATTGAAGTATAGTTGATTCACAATGTTGTGTTAGTTTCTGGTGTATAGCAAAGTGATTCGGTTATACATACATATTTTCTTTTTCATATTTTCCATTATGGTTTATTACAGGATATTGAATATAGTTCCCTGTGCTATACAGTGGGGCCCTGTTGTTTATCTGTTTTGTACATAGTAGTTTGTATCTACTAATTCCAAACTCCTAATTCATCCCTCCCCCACCCGCTTCCCCCTTTGGTAACCGTAAATTTGTTAAAGGCAGCTTTAAACAAAAAGGTGGTGAATGGATTAATACCAAGACCAGCCCCTAGTCTCCCAGTAGCTCACCTGCTTCGTGCTGCCCAGCACTCAGCCCTCCCTGGGACACAGCATCCTTCCACTCTTCCTGTCCCTTCCTTCTCCTCCCCATGCTTCCTCAGCGGGCTTTTAGTAGGAAAACAGTATGATTTAGTACCTCACGCTAACTGATCAATCACCGGTGGATAGGCTTAATCTCTCTTGCTACACCTTAGCACCAAATGCGTTATTCACTATAAGGAATGGCCCCTCCAACTACATTCCTCCCTCTCCCAAAGAATAGGGAACTGAGAAGTCACAGAAGTTCAGGAGAGGGCAGGGTTGGGCGGTCCAGTCTTTAGGGTTCTCCACATCCGACTCTAAACTCTGCTTTCTGCTCTGAAGCATCTTCATCACTGAGCAGAGGATGCTGTGCTGGGCCATCATTGCAGATCCAGCAACATCTCTCCTCCCTCCCCTCAGAAGGGGAGATACATACTGTTCCATAACCCTTTGCCGGTGGGAACCATTATGTTTCCCCAGGGGGAAGCAGCTGCCTGAGGTGTGGGAGGCGGGAGAGAAGCAGCAGCCATCCTTCACCTCTGGCAGGAGGGTGGACTTGGGGAGGGGGGTAGCTGTTTGTCTTGCACCGGCGGGGATGTGAGGCTGCAGCTCTTCCTTGGTGCTGTTGGCTTCTTGGCTTCCTGAGATTACCTCATTTCCCCAGAGACCTAAGGGCAGTTCCTTGACCTTCACTTTCCCAGCCTTTAGGAAGGGGAAGGTTGTGGAAGCACCTGCTCCCTCCCTGCTTTCGGTTTTCCTGATGGAACTCTGGCTGATAGGGGCACTTTGGCAGACTTGCTTGTTCTCTGCTGTCCTCAGAGTGAGTTGTTAGTTTTCCCACCAAGAATGCAAACCAGTGATGACTCTGGATGTGCTCTAAATTTGTAATAAAGCACATTCCTTGGTATTTCCTAGTCGTTTTATACACTTCTTGAAATCTCCGACACCCCCTTCCGGAGAAACTCAAGAAAACAAAGGAAAGCACCATCACTGTCGTTAAATCTTTTCATTTATCAAAGCTGCTATTGTTGTTATTGTATCTTGCTTCATACCAGAATTGTGACAAAGGGCAATTAGTTTTAGAGAAAGTGAAGAAAGGTAGGAAGGTTGCTTTAATTTTTCCCAAACCTGGCTGGAGGGGAAATTCACACATCCTTCCAGTTTATGAAACAGGCGTCGGATCTTTATTAAACTGGCCAGCAGAAGAAGGTCGTCCCCGTTCAGGTGTCGGAGTGCTGGAATCTCTTTAGGGTTTGGTAGCTTTTCAGGAAAGAGAGAAGGGAAGCTCAGAGTCCAGGGTGGAAATGGTGACTGCTGAAGCAGGAGGTGGGAGGAGGCGAGAGGTGACACTAATCTGGGGCTGGATTCCCTCTTGAGTCTAATTATCTATAAATAGGGGCAGTGGTGTTAATTCTAGTCCGAACAGGAATGAGTTGAGGTGCTCTGGAGATATGAGAGACTACAGCAGGCCAGACCACATAGAAATGGGATACTTTCTTTCAAATGCTTACAATGTATTCAAGTCATTTACCGGCATCTGCTGGGGGAAGCACAGAGATGCTGCAGGCACCCCGTCCCTGGGACACGCCCAGTGCGGAGAGCGTGGTGGGTGCGGGCCTAGAGGCTGGGAAAGCCCTGAGCTGGGCTTTCCAGAAGGAGCCGGGATGACTAAGGCACCTTTCCTTCTAAAGCGCGCCCCAATCTCCAGGAGGCCCTTCCACACGACCCTCCTTGCCCTCCACCCTCCCCACTTCCTTACGGCCTTGAGTGATTCAGGCTGATGCTGTCTCCTCGCAGCTGCGGGAAGGTCAAGTGTCTGTTAGGGCAGCCTCGCCTGAGGTGTTTCCCAGCTGCGGCTTCTGAGGCAGCGCAGGAGGGCTGCATAGCCTCGGCGGGGCGGGGCGGGGCGGGGCTAAATGCAAGCCCACCTACTACCTCCTGCAAAGCTGAGTGACCTCTTACCTGCCAGAGACGTGAGAACTGGCAGCATCTTCCTGCATTTTTATCCCTCCCCCCTTTGGAAGGGAGGAAGGAGGAAGGGAAGAAGGAGGGAGGGAGGGGGGAAGGAGGATGAGATGCCTGAGTAATGAGGATGGATCTCCATTTTTAGTTTTCCTTCGATCCCAAATCCCATAAAATGGCAGAAAACATTTTCAGAGAGTAAATCAATAGGAAATAGGAAAATTTTTTTTATCAGCAGGAATAATCTTAAGGAATTCCTGAAAATCAAGAAGCAGCTGGGACCACATCCGTAGAGAGATAAATGACCAGATGGAACCACTAATCCCAAACACACACGTTCTGAGGTCAAAGTCAACAGCAATGGGAGGAGGAGAGGCCTTGAGGTAAATATTGCCATGGTCCCCTGGCCTCCCCTTTGTGTTGAGCCGCGGTGCCCACAGGCTGAGGCTGGAAGCCTGGCGCTGGAGCTCGCCTTCCACCCCTCAGCAGCACATGCCACTCCTCCACAGTTAGCAGAAGGACACTTCGGTAAGGAGAACATGCAGGAAAACAGGGCTTCTCAATGAGAGACACCAGATTTACCTGTCAGAGATGCTAATATTCAGGGAAACAGACCTTAGAATATATATATACATATATATGTGTGTGTGTGTGTGTGTGTGTGTGTGTATAGTTAATATTTTCTGAGGGATTTGGGAGAATTGTCAAGGAAAATAACTAGAGGATTTGGAACTTAGTTCTATGCATATAGAAAAAAAGATACGTTAATTTTAGAATAACCATTAAAATATAACGTATTAAAAGATCAAGTCTGTTAGGTTGAGGAAAGCAACAAAAGTTAGATGTGTTTGCAGGGACACATCTAACTCAAAACTACATAAAAAGGTTGCAAATCAAAGGATGAAAAAAAGATGTATGAAGCCGGTGCAAACTAAAAGAAAGCAGGTGTAGCAATTTAACATCATATGAAGTAGCATTTAAGGCAAAGACCATTAAGAGGGAAACTGGGAATAATACATATTGATGACATTAAAATTTTTTGTCAAAATAGAAACAAAAACCCTCAGTGATATGCTGAGTCATGTAATGGGTACAGATGAAAGGCAAATAAGTGAGGTGGCCCAGGGGTGAAAAGTATAACTCACCATGAAGACTGTCAACACCTTTAATTTCCTAACCATAGAGCTTCAAGACAGATAAAGCAAAACCTGATAGAAATTGTAGGAAAAATGTACTAATTCAGTCATATTGGGAGACATTCATACATCTCTCAGAAATAAATGAACCATAATAAAAAGAAAAGGATATAGAGAGAAGTGTAAATAGAACATTTAGACATACACAGTTTTGTGCTAGTAAACCTTTTGGGGGGGTCAAATATACATGGAACAGTCCTAAGTTATGTCATCAACCACCAAGAAAATATCAGTACATTTTAAACAGCAGGGAAAAAATGCAAGCCATATTCCTTGACCATTTTAGAAGTTAATAAGAAAAAGATAGCAAATTTAAGAACTCTATTTGAAAATTCAATAACTACTGAGTTGAGGAAATCAGAATACAAATCATAAAGGTGAAAGAGGTGAAAGAAAATGGGAGCCCTACATATTAGAACCTGTGGCATATATATATGCCCAAAGGGGCACTCAGAGGGCCAGGGTAGGGGTGGGGGTCGTGCGAGTTTACACGGGGTGGTCAGGAAAGGACTCCGAGAGCAGAAACCTGAGGGAAGTGCAGCAGCTATGTGCTAAATGGGGGAGGAATATTTTAAGTTGAGTGAATAGCGAGTGCAAAAGCCCTGTGGCAGCGACATGCCTGGTATTGTCTAGCAATAGCAAAAAGGCCAGGGTGGCTGAAACAGAGTGGGTAGGAAAAGAGGACTACAGAGGGAATGTTAATAGAAGGAAGTCCAGATCACATACAGTATTGCAGTTATAGGATCTTGGCTTTTACTCTGAGTAAGGTTAGAGGTCTCCAGTTTTGACCAGACTTTTGTTTTCAAAATATCACCTCCACTATTGTCTAGCAACAGCAAAAAGGCCAGGGTGGCTGAAACAGAGTGGGTAGGAAAAGAGGACTACAGAGGGAATGTTAATAGAAGGAAGTCCAGATCACATACAGTATTGCAGTTATAGGATCTTGGCTTTTACTCTGAGTAAGGTTAGAAGTCTCCAGTTTTGACCAGACTTTTGTTTTCAAAATATCACCTCCACTATCATGGCAGAATTGACTTTGGGAAGACCGGAAGCAGGGAGACTTAGGAGGAGGCTACTGTAATAATTTAAACAAGAGATGGATTAGGTACATGAGGCAGATGAGGGTGGTAGTCTTGAAGGATGCCAGGAGTGTTAGAGTCTGGAGATATGTTGGCGGTAGAGTTTATAGGACTTGCAGATGAAAGGTGTGGGGTTGTGAAACAGAGAGGAGGGTAGCAACCCCGAAGTTTTGGGTCTGAGCAACTGAAAGAAAGCAGTTGCCATTTCCTAAGATGGAGAAGACCCAAGGTAGAGCACGCTTTCAAATGTCATTTTGCTCTGTGAAGTTTCTAATGCCCTTTAGACACCAGATGGAGATGGAGGGTTGGAATCAGATCTGCAAGTTTAGAGTTCCTGGGAGATCCACGTGGAGATAAATGGAGGGGTCATCAGCAAGCAGATGGTATTTCAGGACAGAAAACTGATGGGATCACCTAGGGAGTGAGTATAGCTAGAGAAAAGATGAGCCCAACGACAAGCCCTGGAGCCCCTCAATATTTAGAAAAAGGCGGGGGTGAAGAAAATAGGCAAAGAAAAATGAGGAGTAGCCCTTGAGGTAGAAGTAAAATCAAGGGAGAGTAGGTCCTGGAAGCAAGGGAGGAAATTCTTCTAGGAGGAGGAAGTGAGCAACTGTGCCCAATGCCACTGAGAAGACATTAGATTCAACATAAATTAACTATAGTACATATGAAATATTACGTAGCAACAGAATAGACAAATATGCTTGGATATGTAGACATGAAAGGATCTGTAACACATGTTAAATGGAAAACAAAAACAAATAGAGCAAGCCTAATAATACAATCAGTGTAGTCTGATCCAATTTTTATTTTAAAAAGATGTATGTGAATAATTTATAAGTACATAGGAAAGAGAAGTACACACCAAATTTTCAGTGGTGATTACCTTTGGGAAGAGAATTAGAATAGAAGAAAGGATGAAGGGGGGTATCTCATTTTTTTACTCTCTATATTTCTATATTATTTGAATCTTCAAATATGAGAATGTATCCACATATCACTTTTGGAATTTTAAAAAAATGAAAGGGTGTTCATGAGGATGATGAGAAAAGCAGTCATTTTTAACATCAAATTCTTTCTTTTGCACCAACTCTCTTTTCTGATTAAAATTCATTTCGAAGGAGGGAGGTGAGGAGAAAGAGAGAGAGCATTTTTGACATTTTTGGTAAAAATGCATATTTACCATGAATGTAATGAACCAAAAAAAGACTGTCTTGTAAATTTCTAACCAAGGAAGAAGCTTGTTTGCAGCCTGACAGCTGACTGCAGGAGCTAGACTGACTGGAAGTAGCTCAAATAGTGCTTAGCACATTGTAGACCCTTGCTCCATGTTGGCTGAATCTGAAGTCTCCTTTTTGTTTGGTGTTTATGAAATATCCCTGCCTGTGTGGAATCCTGTAGTCATATTTCCACTCGATTAAACGTATAGACTTTTTAGAAGATGAAGATATCTTTGAAGTTTGGAACAATCTCTTCCTTGAATAATTGATGAAACAAGGTCCTCAGAGTTTAGGGGACTTATTCAAAGTCACATACTATATATGCTCTATATGTGACATAGATCTCTATTTATATCTTTCTCTACATGCCTATATATATTTCAGCTTTACTGAGGTATAACTGACAAACTCTACATCTCTACTGAGCTATCATTTGCTAAGTACTTAGTCAGTTCCAAGCACCATGCTAAGTACTTTGCATTCTCATTGAATCTTCACAGCAATCTGTAAGAGAGGAATCATTATCCCCATTTTGTAGAGGAGGGAACTGAAATTCAAGTTCAGCCACTTAGCTAAGTGGCAGAGCTGAGGTTTGAAACTACGTCTCTGTAACCCGAAGTCTGTGTTCTTAACCGTTGTGCAGCATTTCTGGTCACTGAGAGTGTACTCTGGGCCATGCCCCGGGCAGGATAAAGGAATCAGTAAGACAGATTCTGTCCTGCAGGAGCTCACCATCCAGTAGGAAAGACAGCCATGAAGGCAAGTAAGGCACATGGTTCAGCAAGTGCAGGGACAGAGGTGAGTACACGGACAACCCAGAGAAGGACATTTTCGACCCTGATTGGACAAAGGGCTAGGAGATCTGGGAAGTGTTTCCAAGGAGATGGGGCTCGTGCTGGGTCTTGAACATGGTCAGAACCCAGGTCTCCTGACTCAGCCAGGTGCTTTCTGCTAGAGCACAGAGAAAAGCAAACCCAATACAAAGTCCCAAAACCAAACCCCCAAAGCTGCACTACCTCAGTCAGAGAGTAAACACTCAGTAAATGTTATTTGGAATCAAGTCTGAACTAAAAGGAATTTCTGAGGAAGAAAAAACAGTAAGGTTGTCTCAATTCCATACGAAACTTTCACTATATGTTTTTTCATTGAACTCCAGAATTCACAGTAGTGCACAGTGGATTACACACAACTATAATCTATCAGTAATAACACTAACAAACATTGCTTTACTCTTATTATTCTAAATGCTTTCAACTGTTTATAAAAATGTACCTACCTTCACTTTGGTTCCGACACTGATTCTTGCCTGTTGGCCCATTGCTAGAAAAGTGATTGAAATCTTGTCTTGTTCTAAGATGCGGATTCCAACATAACGGTTCAAAGCCAGAAAGACAGGTTTAAATGAAACGAAGGGTGAGGAAGTGACGGAACTTGACCAATTCCAAGCCCTTACTCTGTTGCCAGCTTGATCTGAACATTGACCGCCCAAGATATTGATGTATACCCTGGGCAGAAAGGAAATTAAAAATAAACAGTTACATTATAATTCAACCTTGAATTAGCCTGCTCACTTGCTAACCAAAGGGAATAGCAGTTTATACTAGCCAATAGCATATGAATAGTGGAAAACCTCAGGTAATCTTAGGAGCAATAATACTGTGACCGAATTCTATACTAGTTTGAAGTACTGGGTATGGTTTAAGATGTAGTAATAAACCAAAATGGGTCCAAAGGCTGGAACCGGGATGGTAAAGGGATCTGGAAAATGATGTGCTGGGGAGGATGAAGAGGGAGCACAGAAGGTTAGTTTGGATAAGAAGAAATACAGGAGAGCAGGCTCTACATGGAAGAGGGGAGAAGACTCGTACTTAGATTTTCCCTGTGTCAAAATGAAGATCAGTGAGTGTAAGTTCTGGGAAAGGCCAAATTGGCCTCAGTACAGAGACCTGTTTCCTAACAGTGCCCAGCAACTGGGGCCAGGAGTCCTTCTAGGAGGCCTCTCATCAGGGCCAGTGTGGGCAGGAGAGGCTCAGGGATCATCTCTGAGATCACTGTGGTTTAGAAGAGTTTGGTAATGGAGCAGAAGGGGGAACTGAGGCCAGCAGGGCCTCCCCAATCTCTTAGAGTTGTTAATGCCACATTTTACCACATTACCTACAGATGTAGCCCTGCACAACCTGAGATCTAGTGGCACTAGTGACTGCCGTCCTACTCTATGAGCTCCTTTGCATACCCTCTCACTTTCTTCCATCTGGGGTCACCATCTCTTTCTCCAGGAGAGAGGATAGGTAGAGTTCTGGGTACTTAGCTGGCTTAATTTGATAATAAATTATTTTTTTTAAACCAGATGAATTGGCCAGGAGGGCTCCCTAGAGTAAGATAACTCACATTGTATTTTCCCAGCTTTGATGAGTGGCAGTAATCTGATAACAAAAGTACAACTGAGAAATTGAGGTGATTATCTTTGTATCTGGGAGGAGGGAGATTTAGTTTTATCTTGGTACGTGGGTGAAAATAACATTTGGCTAAAATTATCTAGATAAATTGTTTATTTAATAAACTTTCTTTGAGTCTATGCCATGTACAGATAAATGTTATGTAGTGGCAAAGGTGCAGGGTGTGCCTTCAAGGGACTTCAGTCCCGCAGGGGAGGTGGGCTTGCTACACAAGAAGCAGCGAGAGGGGCTATGAGAGTGTCAAGGAGTCATGTCAGTGGGCCCAGGAGTTCAGTCGGTGGCTGGGAGGTCTTTACTGGTAAAGGGAGAAATCCTAGAAGCCAGTGAATATCTGGTGACAGTTGATATAGTGCCCCACCAGATGTGATGCAGAGCTGCTACTGAACCCCGAAGGATAAGCAGAAAGTCTCCAATAGACTTGGAGGTAATGGATTGACTACTGCTTTGAACTAAAAGTACAAATATCTCCCTGTGTCCTAACTTTCTCAAGTACTGGCAGAGTGTTCAAATTTCTGTCAATTATTGGCAGAGTGTCTCAAGATAAGATTGTTATACCTGTAAATAAGTTAAAGGGAGAGAATATCTCTTTCTGAAAAGCTTCAAAAGATTAAATTGTATTTGAAGTTAGAACCCAAATTTCACTTTCTCAGACTAAATGAAATAATATGAAATCACAGAGTGTGTAAGTTAGTAGATCGAAGGCATTAGGACCTTCATTTCTCTAGAGATTTTGTTTGTATATTATTGTTGGTTGTGGCTATGGGAAGCCTACTTGTTAGGGATATATCTCAAACAGTAACAACACAGTATGGCAGCTGTCCATTGCGAATTATTTCCATAGATGAAGCCAGGATAACATTATCAGGGCATAGCATCTAGAGAGACTGCCTGGGTTCATATCTCAGATCCCTAGGATGGCCATACAATTTATTTAGAGATGTTTTTCTAATATTAAAATTGTATAGTTTATATTTTCTTTCTGTTTATAGAAAAAAATATGATGAGCTTTGTTTTATGTAGTTGCCTGGGATTTTTCCACTAAGCAGCATATGGAATGACATAAATCAAAAATTTATCTGAGTTGAACATTACTGTCTAAAGACCACTAATATAAATAAATCTTCTTAAAGCTATTTTTGTCCTTCTAGTTATAAGATGAATAAGATCTGGGGATCTAATGTATAGCATAGTGATCATAGTTAACACTGTATTATAAACTTGAAAGTTGCTAAGAGAGTATATCTTAAATGTTCTCAACACAAAAAATAAATGGTAATTATGTGACATGTTGCCTGTGTTAGCTAATGCTATAGAGGTAATCATTTTGCACCATATAAGTGTATCAAATCGACACGCTGTACACTTTTAACTTACACAGTATATGTCAATTATATCTCAATAAAGTTGAAAAAATAAAAGGAAAAATAAAATTTCACAAAACCTGAGAAACAAAATGACAGCAGGAGGAACATAGAAGCCTACCAGACATTTCCGTTGGGATGATAGCAGGAACTTCGACCCGAAGAATCTAGCACTGCCAGGATTGCAGGGTTAGTGGGCATGTCTTCTTGGACTATGCAAGTGAAGCCATTTATCTTATTGGGCACTCGGATGATGGCTAGGTTTCCAGATGGGTAGCTGAGATCGGATAAGGTCATTTGAGTTATGCTAATGGTCTTCATACTGGGAATAAATTCAATTTATAAGAGAGCCCTTTGAAACTATAAAGCATTCTGAAAATGGGAGGGTTATTACAAGATAATTTCATGCTTTTTATGTGGATCAAAATATATTTATGAGACACAAAAATCCTCAACAAAAAATACCAGCAAATGGAATCTAGCAACATATTAAAAGGATTATGTACCACGACAAAGTGGAGTTTATCCCAGGAATGCAAGGTTGGTTTACCATCTAAAATAAATTAATGAAACATACTATATTGATAGAATAAAGAGCAAAAAACAGATGATCATCTCAATAGATGAAGAAAAAGCATCTGACAAAATCCAATACCTTTCATGGTAAATGATTCAATGAACTAGGAATAGAAGGGAGCCTCCTCAACCTGACAAAGAATATCTAACAAAACCCCAGAGCTAACATCATACTTAATGATTAAAGACTAGGTGTTTTCCCCCTAAGATCAGGAACTAAACAAAAATGTTCACTCTTTCCACTGCTGTTCAACCTCACGCTGGAGGTTCCAGTCAGGAAAATTTTGTGAAAGAAAAAGAAATGAAGACATTCAGATTGGAAATGGAAGAAGTAAAACTATCTCTATTTGCAGATAACATGTTCTTGTATATAGAAAATCCTAAGGAATCCACAAAATAATGTTACAACTAACAAAAGAGTTCAGTAGGGTTGTAGGCTAAAAGATCAATATATAAAAATAAGTTGTATTTCTATACACTAGCAGTGAACATTTTGAAAATGAAATTAAAATAATTCCACTTACAATAGCATCAAAAAGTATAAAATATACTGAGGATAATTCACTAACTGTTAATATTCAGTCCTATCTCAGCTGATCGGAAGTCCAGAGGTGAATTAAACACAAAATTGATTCTGAATCATTTTGAAAATCAGCCATAGCCTTCAAAGGAGTGAAAACGAATTAAAGCCAGGGCAGGAAATGATAACGAATGATACAAGCTGGGGAAGTTATTTAAAATTTTTTGATATAATTAAAACAAAAAACCTACACTCTTTCTCAAAGGGCCTAGGGAACTAAAACTTCATCACACTTCCTATGCCATGAAAGCCATTTTTCTGGTTTCTTAGTGGGGTTTGACTAAACATTTAGGCAACTATGACTAAAAATGACTTTCTCCTACAAAATGAGGCCCTTAGTTCACCAAAAGGTCCTTCTCATTTCATAGTTTCGTTTTACTTTCCTTGAGATATTAAATGGCCTTTGCGTCAAAATAGCAAATGGTCTGATCATCAGGCAGAATTCAAGTGATCAATAACTTGAACACTCAATAACTGAGTGTTCCATAAAATGGATATTGAATTTTTGTATTAAAAAATAACATGCTGCTCATGGATGTGTAAACTGGTACACATTTTCTGGGGGGCAAAATCTATTAAACCTTTAAAATGCCCATAATTTCTTACCCAGAATTTCTATCCCTAGGTATTTAATTCAAGGAAGTAAGTGATAAGTGTGCAGCGAGGTATGCACAAAGCTGTTCATGTAGCTGTTGTATAAAACAGCCAAAAATTGTAAAAACACCTTTGATTAGTGATAGGGGATAGATGAAAGGAATTACAGTACATCACTGTGATGCAATGCCATGTGCTTATAAAGATGGTGTTGTATCTCTATATTTATTGCATATTATATACTCATAACATTTATGAGTATTTATTGTATAATATTTATTGTATAATATTATGTAAAGGGTGCAAGTTACAAAATATAAATAGTTGAAGAATTAATTTTTAAAGAATTATATAATTACTCATAGGAAAAAAGTAAGGCAAGATGTATAAAAAGATGTTAACAGCTTTGCTCTGGATGGTAGAATTTGGTAATAACTATTTTTTCTTCATATTTTTCAATCATTTTTTCTTTTTCTTTTTGTGAAGAAATAAAGCTAACGAAAATAAGTTGTTGAAAGAAAGGATACAATATTTGTGTTGTCCCGTCTGGAAATGAAGTCAGAAACTTGCTCCCATGTTTGTAGTGCTTTTCAAAGAGCTCATTTGTCATGATCTATACACCGTAGAAAACAAAAGCACAGTTACATGATGACAACAGACATTCTTTGCTTGCTAGACACTCACACAAACCATTTCTTAACTTAAATTTTTGATCCTGAATCAGCAACAGGGAACAATCCTTAGGAATCATTAAAGATTGTCCCTAACCCCTGCACATAACCTGATTAAACCTTTCTGGCAGGAATCTGACATTACTTATCTGAAGAGTGTTTTCTGTTTTTTGTCTTTTTTAAAAAATTAAAAACAATTTTTATTCAATAGAACAAGATAGAAGAGAGTGCTCAGGCTTCAGTCAGAATGATATTTTAAGTAATCGTCATCATCATAACAGCAAACACTTTAAAAGAACTTATATGGTAGGTATTTTTTTAATTGAAGTATAGTTGATGTGCAATGTTATGTAAGTTTCAGGCGAACAACATAGTGAGTCACAATTTTTAAAGGTTATACTTCATTTATAGTTATTATAAAATATTGGCTATATTCTCTGTGCTGTACAATATATCCTTGTAGCTTATCTATCTTATACATAGCAGTTTGTACCTCTTAAACCCCTACCCCTATCTTGCCCCTCCCCACTTCCCTCTCCCCACTAGAAAATAGTAGTTTGTTCTCCATGTCTGTGGGTCTGTTTTCTTTTTTGTTATATTCATTAGTTTGTTTTCTTTTAGATTCTACATATAAATGATATAATGCAGTATTTGTCTTTCTCCGACTTATTTCACTTAGCCAAATACCCTCCATCCATGTTGTTGCAAATGGCAAAATTTCATTCTTTTTTATGGCTGAGTAGTATTCCCATATACATATGTGTGTATGTGTGTTATATATGTGTGTATATATATATATATATATATATATATATATATACACACACACACACCACATCTTCTTTATCTATCTGTTGATGGACACTTAGGTTGCTTCCATATCTTGGCTACTGTAAAAAATGCTGCTATGAACATTGGAGTGCGTGTATCTTTTCGAATTAGTGTTTTCATTTTTTTTCAGTTATACACCCAAGAGTGGAATTGCTGGGTCATACAGTAGTTCTATTTTTAGTTTTTTAGGAACCTCCATACTGTTTTCTACAGTGGCTACACCAATGTACATTCCCACTAACGGTGCACAAGGGTTCCCTTTTCTCCACATCCTTGTCAACATTTGTTATTTGTGTTCTTTTGGATGACAGCCATTCTGACAGGTGTGAGGTGATATCTCATTGTGGTTTTAATTTGCATTTCCCTGATGATTAATGATATTGGCCATCTGTATGTCTTCTTTAAAAGAATGCCTATTCAGGTCTTATGCCAATTTTTCAATCAGGTTTATTTTTTATTTATCTACTTTTACTTTATATGCATATTGTTATAAAAACAAAAGAAGATTAAAAAAAAAACAACCCAGCCCTAGCACAGTGGAGATATTCTGTGTCCTGGTTGTAGTGGTGATTACATAACTGTCAAAATTAATGGAGCTGTACATATAAGAAGGTGAGTTTTACAATAAATTATACTTCAATAAACTGACTTTACACTCCAGTGTAAGCTGCAGCATCTGGTGTCTTTTCAAGGTTGCTCTTGAAGTTCATTTGAGAAAAACACTAGTGGAATATGGGAAGATGAAGAAAGAAATACAAAGAGATATTCCTTGTTGTACCTCTAAGCTTAACTATTTTACTTTCTATGTAATACTCAATAGGGGAATGAATTTGTAGCCAACAATGTTTTATTTTTTTATTTTTTATAGACATGTCTTTTTTAAAAAATTAACTTATTTTGGCTGCATTGGGTCTTCATTGCTGCGGGCGGGCTTTCTCTAGTTGTGGCGAGCGGGGGTTACTCTTCGTTGCAGTGCGTGTGCTTCTCATTGCAGTGGCTTCTCTTGTTGCGGAGCACGGGCTCTAGGCACGTGGGCTTCAGTAGTTGTGGCTCGCGGACTCTAGAGCGCAGGTATAGTAGTTGTGGCGCACAGGCTTAGTTGCTACGTGGCATGTGGGATCTTCCCGAACCAGGGCTCGAACCCGTGTCCCCTGCATTGGCAGGCGGATTCTTAACCAGTGTGCCACCAGGGAAGCCCCCAACAATGTTTTAAAATGAACTAAAGCTTCAGTTGAATTCTGTTTCTTCCTAATCTTGAATTGTAATAAAATGCATACAAGAATTCCTAGGGCTAAACAATCTAAATTTTCATGTAAATGTTGCCATTTATTTTGAAAGATAATACACTTTTCACTTTTATGAAATATAAAATACATTCAGATAAGCACTAAAATATGCTATTTTGTTAATGAGTAATTATAATGTGAACACCCATGTTATCACCATCTGGGTCAAGATATAGAACAATGCCGATACTCTGGAAGTTCCCTCTGTGCTACCCCAAAGTCAGTGTTCTGTAATCTCTAAACAATATAGTTTAATTTTTCCCATTTTGAATTTTACATAAATGGAATCGAACATTATGAATTTTTAATACTTTGTTTCTTTTAGTCAACATTATGTTTGTAAGATTCATACACTTCCCAGTGTGTAATTGTAGTCCAATTACTTCCATTTGTGTGTAGGATTGTATTGTATGACTTCATCATTATTTACTTATCCATTCTATTGTTAATGGATATCTCGGTTGTTTCCAGTTTTTGGCTCATAAACAATGATACTCTGAACCGTCTTTTGCATGTATGCTGGTACCCAGTTACTCTCAGATCTTATACCCAGAGGTAGAATTGCTGAACCCCAAGATATGCCTGTCTCCCACTTTACAAGGTACTGACAAAATGATTTTCAAGTTGTACCAATTTGCATTCACACTAGAGGCAAATAATAGGGACTGTTACTCTATATCCTTTCCAACACTCAGTAGTATCAGACTTCACAAATTTTTTTTTTTGGCCAATATTATACGTATGTACTGATCTCTAATTGTGGTTTCAATTTTCCTCTCCCAGGTTACTAATGAGGTTGAACACCTTTTCATATGTTTATTGATTATTTGAATTTTCTCCTTGGAGAAGTGGTCAAGTTTTTTAAGTTCATTTTTCTATTAGGTAGACTTTTTTTTCATGTGGATTTATAGAAGTTCTTTATACATTTAGGATAAAAGCCCTTTGTATATCATATGTGCTGCAAAATATCTCCCTTCTTGGCTTGTCTTCCAAATTTTAATTTTTTAAAATATTTTATTTATTTATTTGGTTGCACCAGGTCTTAGTTGCAGCCGGTGGGCTCCTTAGTTCTGGCTCACCTGCTCCTTAGTTGCAGCTCACTGGCTCCTTAGTTGTGGCATGCAAACTCTTAGTTGTGGTGTGCATGTGGGATCTAGTTCCCTGACCTGGGATCGAATCCGGGCCCCGTGCATTGGGAGCGCAGAGTCTTAACCACTGCGCCACCAGGGAAGTCCCCCAAATTTTAAGTTTAATTTATCAACTACTTTATGGATACTGCTTTTTTAAAATTGGTTAGTAAATCTTTCCCTAACCTTAAGTAATAAAGCTAGTCTCCTGTTAAAAAAAAAAATCATTGTAGTTTTGCATTTCACATTTAGGTCTTTAATCCACTGGAACTGATTTTTATATGATGTGAGATATGATTCCAATTTCATAAAAAAATATGGATATCCAATTGTCCCAGCAGTATGTATTGGAAAGATTTTCCTTTCTCCATTACTGTGCAGTGCCACTGCTGGCATAGATCAGAAGTCTGTGTGTGCATAAATCCGATTCTGAACTATTCTGTATCATAGATTTATTTGTTTATCCTGCCCCAACACTACACTGTCTTAATTACTATATTTTGTAATAGATCTCAGTATCTGATAGAGCGTGTTCCCCTCCCTCCCAGACTTCTTCTTCAAGAAAGTCTTGGCTCTTCTAGGTTCTTTATATTTCCATGTAAATCTTAGCATCAACTTGTCAAGACCTTCCTTCCCCCTGCACATGCAAATATACAACCTTGTTAGAATTTGAATTACAGTTGCATTGGATCTATAGATCAATTTGGGAAGAATGTCATATTTTAAATACTCTTCCAATCCATGAATATTAGGTCAAATTTGTTAAATGGGTTGTTCAAATATTCTATCTTATTACTGCTTTTTTTTTTTTTGGTCTAATAGTCCTCTCAATTATTGAGAGAAGCAGGCTAAAGTATCCCATTATGATTATGGATTAAAATTTTTTCCCTTTTACTTCCGTGAAATTTTGCTTTATATTTTTTGAGGCTATGTTAATAGGGGAAACATATTTTGTAACATTATACCTTCCTGGTGGATTAAAACTTCTGTCACTGTGAAGTGGTCCTCTATCTCACTGATGTTCTTTAATATTTTCATGATACATCATTTTTGTTTATTTATATTTAATCTTTTTGTATCCTTTTATTTTATTTATTTTACTTTTGGCTGTGTTGGGTCTTTGTTGCTGCTCACAGGCTTTCTCTAGTTTCAGCGAGCAGGGGCTACTCTTCGTTGCGGTGCGTGGGCTTCTCATTGCGGCGGCTTCTCTTGTGGAGCACGGGCTTTAGGCGCACAGGCTTCAGTAGTTGCAGCACACGGGCTCAGTAGTTGTGCCTCGTGGGCTCTAGAGCACAGGCTCAGTAATTGTGGTGCATGGGCTTAGTTGCTCCACGTCATGTGGGATCTTCCCAGACCAGGGATCAAACCCGTGTTCCCTGTGCTGGCAGGTGGATTCTCAACCACTGTGCCACCAGGGAAGCCCCTATCCTTATATTTTAGATATAGTCTCTTGTAATCAGTATATGGTTGGAATTTTTCCTTTAAAAAGTTGTCAGACACTCTTTGTTTATTAACTGAAGCATTTACTCTATTTACATATAACCACTGACATTCCTTGACGTGTTCTATTTGTCCTCTGTTATGTGTTTTTCTTTTCCCTTATCCTTTCTTATCTTTTGGGGGGCACTTAAAGTGAATTATTCTAATTTTTTTGCTCCGCCTCTGATAGCTTGGAAGTTATACTCTCTACTTGTTATTTTTCTGGCTACCCCAGAAATTTCAGCAAGCAAACTTAATTTATCAAAGTCTGAGTTTAAACTATGTTTGCCCTTCTCCCAAACCAAGGACTTTTATAACACTATAATTGCATTTAGCTTTCTTGCCAAATCATGTACTATTTTTTCAAGTATTTTTACTCTATACTGTTTCTTGAAAGTCCTTGAGCCATTATTATTATTATTGTTTTATCAGTCAACTTTTAGTTTTATACATATATCCCATGAACGCTTTTCTTTGCTCTTCATCTTTCTTGAATCTCATACTATCCAACTACACAAAGAACATTCTTTAGAATTCCTTTTAGTCAGAGGCTACTAGTGACAAACTCTGTTTTGCCAGACCATGTCTTTTGGGGGCATATTTTAATGAAAGATATTTTAACTGGGTATAGGCTTCTAGACTGACTGTTATTTTCTTTCAGCACACAGAAGACATTATACTGGCTTCCATTGTTGCTGTTGGGAGTTTATCTGATTTCTAACTGTTCTCTTTTAAATGTAAACAGACTTCTTTTTCTCTGCTAATCTTTAGATTTTCTTTTTGTCTTTGTGCAGTTTCACTATACTGTGTCTAGGATTTATTTTTATTTTACTTTATTTTATTTTTTTAATTCATCCTGCTTGGGATTCTTAAATCTGTGAATAGGTCTCTTTTATCAGTTTTGGAAAATTATCCATTCTCTCTTCAGATACTGCCTCTGCCTGATTATCTTTTTCCTCTCCTTCTGGGATTCTGAACAAATACATTTTAGACCCTTCATTCTATTTTCATATTATACACACTTTTCTGTATTCCTTACCTTTTTTTGCCCCCATGTAAATTTTGGGGTAAATTTTGATAGTTTTCTTTTAACCTTTCTTTCAGGTCATTAGTTCTTTCTTTAGTTGGGTCTAACCTGCATTTAACTCTCATCTTTTAAGTTTTTAATTTCAGTTTTTGTATTTTTCATTTCTAAAGTTCATTTTTTTCTTTTCAATTGTATAGTTTTCTGTTCCCTCCATATATCTTCAAGCTGATCTTTTGTTTTCATAAACATAGTTAGATTACTTCAGTTTTCGAAGTCTTTGTAGATCTTCTCTTATTGATACTAATCCTCTGAGTTTTCAATTGTGGTGTTGAGTTTCCTTGTGTTCTTAATTATTTTTCACTGTGTGCTGGTAATTGAACTTGAAAGATAATTTGTAGGAGTGATTTCAGGGCTAGATAAGCGACCTTCCTTCAGACAGGATTTGGATTTGATTCTGTCAGAACCTCAGTTCACTGCCATGCCTTAAATTCTATGTCACCCAGGAGAAACAAAACTGGTCTCAGGAGTTTAATTTCTAGGGATCTATTCTGGGGAACTATATTTAGTATAGTGTAAATTTATACACAAAGATATTGAAAGCAATGGTTAAACTATATGAAAAGGCACATAGATATTAAAATGATGTTAATGTAAGCTACGTAATATCATGGAAAAATTGTTGATAATTAAGTTAAAAGGATAAAAATTACATGTGTAATATAATTACAAGTGTTTTAACAGAAACTTATGCTTAAAAACTCTAGAACAGTGCTGTCTAATAGAACTTGTAGTGACCATAAAAGTTTTCTATATCTGCCCTGCAATATGGTTGCCTTTAGTCACACACAGCTATTTAACACTTGAAATGTGGCTAGCATGACTGAAGAATTACATTTTATTTACTTATTTAATTTAAATTATTTTAAATAAGTTATTTAATTTTAATTATTTTAAATTTGGATATCCATGTGGAGTATTTGTTACCGTATTGGGCAGTGCAGATCTAGATAATATTGAAATATTAATAATGGTTTGGGGGATGTGCGTGAGACTTCTGATGATTTTCTCCCATTCTTTTTAGTTTTCTAAAGGGTTCCAAATGTTCCTTACTATACACTGATCACATTTTAAAGTAAAAAGGCTTTAACCAAAATACCCCCTCATAAAACATATGTAAAGCATTGTTATAAAGTCTAGTATAAGTTAAAAGGCCAAGTCCATACCAATTCTTTTTGACAAATAGTTAAATGTGTCATGTAGCCACGCTGCCATATTCATCATGACAGCTTTTATAATTTTAGGTAAAACTGATTTTTAAAGAGTAGCAAATAAAAAAAATTACAAGCTAATTACCTTTCCACATGCTATCCTAGAATCACAACAAACAATGGATATATTTCTTTTGTCTAGTTGATAATCAGTTAGTTCTTCCTTAGCTGACTCTACTTCTGGAATATCCATGGAAAGTTGATAAGAAATTGTTTTAAATTGCTTTGCATCTAATGGGAAAAGAATCACATGAAATACATATATGATGTTTAAAACTTTCCAAAACCTCTCTTCTAAAATGAAATTGCAAACTCTGTTACGGATGCATTGATTCATTGGACATTTTTTTAATGGAAGAAAAATGAGGACCTCCTTCTTTTGTTTAAAAAAATGAGAAATTCTCATTTGGTTGAAAGAAAAATAATGATGATTTTCATTACGTGGAATTTTCTGGCCTTAGGTTTAGTAGAAAACAGTTGAATACCAAGGAATTTTATACTAGGGGTTTCGTTGAAAAAAAAAATCTTCTCTAAGTATCTTTTCAATGGCTCTGAGTCATAGAGGAGGAGCCTGATGCTCAGAAATATTAAATAATTTATCCCCAATTGGGCAGCCTATGAGGAGAAAAGCAAGGACATAAATCCAGAACTTCTGATTCTAAAATCGGTGCCCCTTCAGTCGTACCAGTACTACAGCTATACTGGCCAGCTGACCGATGGGGCCTGCCTATAAGAAAGGAATCTGATTTATTTTTGACAGATTTTCCATATCCTAGCTTGAAACAAAATGGAATGTATGTTTGATAAAATGAGAGACAATGAACTCAAAAGCTCTTTCTAGCTATCTGTAAAGTGCTCTATAGATGTTGCTAATTTATTTCAATCAATAACAACAGTGAGCTGAAGACTAAAAACTTCAAAAGCCAGATGACGGAAAAGCGGGATTTTCTGAGCCATTTTGACTGATGTATTGACCAAAATGGAAAATTTAAATGTTATTTTTAGAATACGTCAATTTTTGCTCTTGGTCAAACATATGAGCTTTCTGATCTATAACATCAGTGTTAAGGAACTTACCTTCTTCAGAGAAAGTAGTCTGTTCTTTTGTTAATATTGCATAGTGTTTGGCCATTCGTCGCTCCTGTTTTCTACAAAATCAAAAAATATGATGCATAAGTCTGAAATATGTTGGAAGTTTAAAACAGTATACTATAAATTTTTACTGTTTAAACGCTATTCCTTGTTATTTTTATCTGTTATGACTTGTGAATCAAGTCATTTAATCAGTGTGCGTGTGTTTCTACTATATTTAGTGGACAGATTTCTCCAATATAGGAATTCTGAATTGCCCTGAGAATTTGGGATTGGCAAATTTCTACTCTAAGTCAGTGAGTTCACTGAGTTTCTGAAATCTTCTGACCCTTACAGTGTCCACCAGGAATTGCAATAGGTTTGCTTTGGCCAATTTTTGTTTCTTCACTGGGAATGCATCTTCAAAATTATCTATTTTGAGAAAATGAGGTTCATTTTACAAAAAACTCTCTAACTAAGTGGGCCTATCTGAGTTTCAATATCAAAGGCTCACTGTTACCTCCGCAAAGCTTTTTCCTTTGCTTTGAGTCTGTCGACTTCACTGCCGTGGGCGGCATGAGGGTCAATACAGATTAATTCAGCTTTAGAGCTCTGGATTTTTTGTTTTCCCTCATAGATGTAGTCAATCAGGTTTTGGAAATAACTACAACAGGAGGTCTGAAAAACAGAGTTCATGTTCATCTCATCAGTCCTAGATGATAATTACAGGAGGGAAAAAACCCAAAAAAATGGTAATGGGGTTTTGGATAACAATCTATCATAACATTTTTTTGGTAACAGTTTTATTGAGATATAATTCACATATCGTACAATTCACCCATTTAAAGTGTACAAGTCAATGGTTTTTAGTGTTGGGTTGGCCAAAACATTCGCTCAGGTTTTTCCATAACATTGTAGGAAAAACCCGAATGAACTTTTTGGCCAACCCAATATAGTCACAGAATTTTGCAACCATCACAACAATCAATTTTAGAAACTGAAACCTGTACCCATTCATATAAATGGAATCATACAACATGTGGTACTTTGTGACTTGCTTCTTTCACTTAGCATAATATTTTCATTTATGTCGTAGCATGTATAAGTACTTCATTTCTTGTTATGGCTGCATAATATTTCATTGTATGGATACCCCACATTTATTTACCCTTTCATCAGTTGATAAATGTCTGGGTTATTTTCACTTTTTGGCTGTTATGAATCATGCTGCTGTGAACATTTGTATACACGTTTCTGGGTGGACGTATGTTGTTAATTTTCTTGGGTATATACTTAGGAATGGAATTGTTTGTCGGGTTATATGGTATCTGTATGTTTAACTTTTTGAGGGATTGCCCGACTGTTTTCCAAAGCGGCTGCATCGTTTTCTATTCCCCTTCAGCAGTGTATGAGGGTTCCAGTGTCTCTACATCCTTGTTATTATCTGTCTTTTGGGTTATAGCCATCCTAGTGGGTGTGAAATTGTATCCCATTGTGGTTATGATTTGCATTGCCCTGACGGCTAACACATCACTCTCTTAAGAATGGCAATGCAGGGAATCCTCTGGCAGTGCAGTGGTTAGGATTCTGGGCTTTCACTGCCAGGGTCCCAGGTTCGATCCCTGGTGAGCGAACTACGATCCCACAAGCCACGCAGTGCAGCCAAAAAAAAAAAAAAAAGAAAAAGAAAGGCAATGCATTGGAAAGATGCAGGAGAAAATACTACTTATGCTTAAATTAGTTTCTATAAGTAACACTATTTCCTCCGTGAACCTGCTTTAGAACTTACATGTTCTACTAGTTCAGAGCTATTGTAGTCACAGGAAAGATCCACATTGGAGAGAAATGTTCTTAGATCGCTCCCACAGAATTCACACGTGGGTGACACCTCCTCCTCTTCTCTCTTCAGAGAGGAGAAAAAAAAAATGAAGACATGCCCACAAGGAGGCCCAGAGCCTCTGAGAGCAGGTGGAGCCAGAGCCCTGGACAGGGCCAGCGAATGTCCAGTCAGACAACAGGGTTGATGAGGGATGTACAAACCTGCTTGAGAACTCCTGTCAGACAACATGAGGGCTCCCAGTGATGGTTAGTAGGGAACTTTCAGGGGTCTGATATCCTATATCAGAAGGCACCAAGCCAGCAGGATCTGTATATTCCAGAAATGAGACATCATTTCTATTCAAGGGCCCTTAAGGGCTGGGGAGGCTGAAGTGGTGTTTTGGAGGCCTCTGTCTGGTGCAGTTCGTTGGGGTGCAGCTGAGCCCATCAGGAGCTCTGTGGGTCCTTGGGATGCCTCCTCAGTGTAAGAAGAAAGTTGCAGAAATGATTTTACTGTTGACATCAGTGTCCCTTGTCGAGCAGGGGGATGTACAGTGTGTGACTAGATGGTGGGACACAAAGGATAACACATATTTGATTTTGTGTAAATGGTCTAAGGTGTTTAAATACCATAAACTCTTTCAAGAAGTGTCAGCTAAGGGCTTCCCTGGTGGCACAGTGGTTGAGAGTCCGCCTGCTGATGCAGGGGACACGGGTTCGTGCCCCAGTCCGGGAAGATCCCACATGCCGCGGAGCAGTCTCCAGTTTTGACCAGACTTTTGTTTTCAAAATATCACCTCCACTATCATGGCAGAATTGACTTTGGGAAGACCGGAAGCAGGGAGACTTAGGAGGAGGCTACTGTAATAATTTAAACAAGAGATGGATTAGGTACATGAGGCAGATGAGGGTGGTAGTCTTGAAGGATGCCAGGAGTGTTAGAGTCTGGAGATATGTTGGCGGTAGAGTTTATAGGACTTGCAGATGAAAGGTGTGGGGTTGTGAAACAGAGAGGAGGGTAGCAACCCCGAAGTTTTGGGTCTGAGCAACTGAAAGAAAGCAGTTGCCATTTCCTAAGATGGAGAAGACCCAAGGTAGAGCACGCTTTCAAATGTCATTTTGCTCTGTGAAGTTTCTAATGCCCTTTAGACACCAGATGGAGATGGAGGGTTGGAATCAGATCTGCAAGTTTAGAGTTCCTGGGAGATCCACGTGGAGATAAATGGAGGGGTCATCAGCAAGCAGATGGTATTTCAGGACAGAAAACTGATGGGATCACCTAGGGAGTGAGTATAGCTAGAGAAAAGATGAGCCCAACGACAAGCCCTGGAGCCCCTCAATATTTAGAAAAAGGCGGGGGTGAAGAAAATAGGCAAAGAAAAATGAGGAGTAGCCCTTGAGGTAGAAGTAAAATCAAGGGAGAGTAGGTCCTGGAAGCAAGGGAGGAAATTCTTCTAGGAGGAGGAAGTGAGCAACTGTGCCCAATGCCACTGAGAAGACATTAGATTCAACATAAATTAACTATAGTACATATGAAATATTACGTAGCAACAGAATAGACAAATATGCTTGGATATGTAGACATGAAAGGATCTGTAACACATGTTAAATGGAAAACAAAAACAAATAGAGCAAGCCTAATAATACAATCAGTGTAGTCTGATCCAATTTTTATTTTAAAAAGATGTATGTGAATAATTTATAAGTACATAGGAAAGAGAAGTACACACCAAATTTTCAGTGGTGATTACCTTTGGGAAGAGAATTAGAATAGAAGAAAGGATGAAGGGGGGTATCTCATTTTTTTACTCTCTATATTTCTATATTATTTGAATCTTCAAATATGAGAATGTATCCACATATCACTTTTGGAATTTTAAAAAAATGAAAGGGTGTTCATGAGGATGATGAGAAAAGCAGTCATTTTTAACATCAAATTCTTTCTTTTGCACCAACTCTCTTTTCTGATTAAAATTCATTTCGAAGGAGGGAGGTGAGGAGAAAGAGAGAGAGCATTTTTGACATTTTTGGTAAAAATGCATATTTACCATGAATGTAATGAACCAAAAAAAGACTGTCTTGTAAATTTCTAACCAAGGAAGAAGCTTGTTTGCAGCCTGACAGCTGACTGCAGTAGCTAGACTGACTGGAAGTAGCTCAAATAGTGCTTAGCACATTGTAGACCCTTGCTCCATGTTGGCTGAATCTGAAGTCTCCTTTTTGTTTGGTGTTTATGAAATATCCCTGCCTGTGTGGAATCCTGTAGTCATATTTCCACTCGATTAAACGTATAGACTTTTTAGAAGATGAAGATATCTTTGAAGTTTGGAACAATCTCTTCCTTGAATAATTGATGAAACAAGGTCCTCAGAGTTTAGGGGACTTATTCAAAGTCACATACTATATATGCTCTATATGTGACATAGATCTCTATTTATATCTTTCTCTACATGCCTATATATATTTCAGCTTTACTGAGGTATAACTGACAAACTCTACATCTCTACTGAGCTATCATTTGCTAAGTACTTAGTCAGTTCCAAGCACCATGCTAAGTACTTTGCATTCTCATTGAATCTTCACAGCAATCTGTAAGAGAGGAATCATTATCCCCATTTTGTAGAGGAGGGAACTGAAATTCAAGTTCAGCCACTTAGCTAAGTGGCAGAGCTGAGGTTTGAAACTACGTCTCTGTAACCCGAAGTCTGTGTTCTTAACCGTTGTGCAGCATTTCTGGTCACTGAGAGTGTACTCTGGGCCATGCCCCGGGCAGGATAAAGGAATCAGTAAGACAGATTCTGTCCTGCAGGAGCTCACCATCCAGTAGGAAAGACAGCCATGAAGGCAAGTAAGGCACATGGTTCAGCAAGTGCAGGGACAGAGGTGAGTACACGGACAACCCAGAGAAGGACATTTTCGACCCTGATTGGACAAAGGGCTAGGAGATCTGGGAAGTGTTTCCAAGGAGATGGGGCTCGTGCTGGGTCTTGAACATGGTCAGAACCCAGGTCTCCTGACTCAGCCAGGTGCTTTCTGCTAGAGCACAGAGAAAAGCAAACCCAATACAAAGTCCCAAAACCAAACCCCCAAAGCTGCACTACCTCAGTCAGAGAGTAAACACTCAGTAAATGTTATTTGGAATCAAGTCTGAACTAAAAGGAATTTCTGAGGAAGAAAAAACAGTAAGGTTGTCTCAATTCCATACGAAACTTTCACTATATGTTTTTTCATTGAACTCCAGAATTCACAGTAGTGCACAGTGGATTACACACAACTATAATCTATCAGTAATAACACTAACAAACATTGCTTTACTCTTATTATTCTAAATGCTTTCAACTGTTTATAAAAATGTACCTACCTTCACTTTGGTTCCGACACTGATTCTTGCCTGTTGGCCCATTGCTAGAAAAGTGATTGAAATCTTGTCTTGTTCTAAGATGCGGATTCCAACATAACGGTTCAAAGCCAGAAAGACAGGTTTAAATGAAACGAAGGGTGAGGAAGTGACGGAACTTGACCAATTCCAAGCCCTTACTCTGTTGCCAGCTTGATCTGAACATTGACCGCCCAAGATATTGATGTATACCCTGGGCAGAAAGGAAATTAAAAATAAACAGTTACATTATAATTCAACCTTGAATTAGCCTGCTCACTTGCTAACCAAAGGGAATAGCAGTTTATACTAGCCAATAGCATATGAATAGTGGAAAACCTCAGGTAATCTTAGGAGCAATAATACTGTGACCGAATTCTATACTAGTTTGAAGTACTGGGTATGGTTTAAGATGTAGTAATAAACCAAAATGGGTCCAAAGGCTGGAACCGGGATGGTAAAGGGATCTGGAAAATGATGTGCTGGGGAGGATGAAGAGGGAGCACAGAAGGTTAGTTTGGATAAGAAGAAATACAGGAGAGCAGGCTCTACATGGAAGAGGGGAGAAGACTCGTACTTAGATTTTCCCTGTGTCAAAATGAAGATCAGTGAGTGTAAGTTCTGGGAAAGGCCAAATTGGCCTCAGTACAGAGACCTGTTTCCTAACAGTGCCCAGCAACTGGGGCCAGGAGTCCTTCTAGGAGGCCTCTCATCAGGGCCAGTGTGGGCAGGAGAGGCTCAGGGATCATCTCTGAGATCACTGTGGTTTAGAAGAGTTTGGTAATGGAGCAGAAGGGGGAACTGAGGCCAGCAGGGCCTCCCCAATCTCTTAGAGTTGTTAATGCCACATTTTACCACATTACCTACAGATGTAGCCCTGCACAACCTGAGATCTAGTGGCACTAGTGACTGCCGTCCTACTCTATGAGCTCCTTTGCATACCCTCTCACTTTCTTCCATCTGGGGTCACCATCTCTTTCTCCAGGAGAGAGGATAGGTAGAGTTCTGGGTACTTAGCTGGCTTAATTTGATAATAAATTATTTTTTTTAAACCAGATGAATTGGCCAGGAGGGCTCCCTAGAGTAAGATAACTCACATTGTATTTTCCCAGCTTTGATGAGTGGCAGTAATCTGATAACAAAAGTACAACTGAGAAATTGAGGTGATTATCTTTGTATCTGGGAGGAGGGAGATTTAGTTTTATCTTGGTACGTGGGTGAAAATAACATTTGGCTAAAATTATCTAGATAAATTGTTTATTTAATAAACTTTCTTTGAGTCTATGCCATGTACAGATAAATGTTATGTAGTGGCAAAGGTGCAGGGTGTGCCTTCAAGGGACTTCAGTCCCGCAGGGGAGGTGGGCTTGCTACACAAGAAGCAGCGAGAGGGGCTATGAGAGTGTCAAGGAGTCATGTCAGTGGGCCCAGGAGTTCAGTCGGTGGCTGGGAGGTCTTTACTGGTAAAGGGAGAAATCCTAGAAGCCAGTGAATATCTGGTGACAGTTGATATAGTGCCCCACCAGATGTGATGCAGAGCTGCTACTGAACCCCGAAGGATAAGCAGAAAGTCTCCAATAGACTTGGAGGTAATGGATTGACTACTGCTTTGAACTAAAAGTACAAATATCTCCCTGTGTCCTAACTTTCTCAAGTACTGGCAGAGTGTTCAAATTTCTGTCAATTATTGGCAGAGTGTCTCAAGATAAGATTGTTATACCTGTAAATAAGTTAAAGGGAGAGAATATCTCTTTCTGAAAAGCTTCAAAAGATTAAATTGTATTTGAAGTTAGAACCCAAATTTCACTTTCTCAGACTAAATGAAATAATATGAAATCACAGAGTGTGTAAGTTAGTAGATCGAAGGCATTAGGACCTTCATTTCTCTAGAGATTTTGTTTGTATATTATTGTTGGTTGTGGCTATGGGAAGCCTACTTGTTAGGGATATATCTCAAACAGTAACAACACAGTATGGCAGCTGTCCATTGCGAATTATTTCCATAGATGAAGCCAGGATAACATTATCAGGGCATAGCATCTAGAGAGACTGCCTGGGTTCATATCTCAGATCCCTAGGATGGCCATACAATTTATTTAGAGATGTTTTTCTAATATTAAAATTGTATAGTTTATATTTTCTTTCTGTTTATAGAAAAAAATATGATGAGCTTTGTTTTATGTAGTTGCCTGGGATTTTTCCACTAAGCAGCATATGGAATGACATAAATCAAAAATTTATCTGAGTTGAACATTACTGTCTAAAGACCACTAATATAAATAAATCTTCTTAAAGCTATTTTTGTCCTTCTAGTTATAAGATGAATAAGATCTGGGGATCTAATGTATAGCATAGTGATCATAGTTAACACTGTATTATAAACTTGAAAGTTGCTAAGAGAGTATATCTTAAATGTTCTCAACACAAAAAATAAATGGTAATTATGTGACATGTTGCCTGTGTTAGCTAATGCTATAGAGGTAATCATTTTGCACCATATAAGTGTATCAAATCGACACGCTGTACACTTTTAACTTACACAGTATATGTCAATTATATCTCAATAAAGTTGAAAAAATAAAAGGAAAAATAAAATTTCACAAAACCTGAGAAACAAAATGACAGCAGGAGGAACATAGAAGCCTACCAGACATTTCCGTTGGGATGATAGCAGGAACTTCGACCCGAAGAATCTAGCACTGCCAGGATTGCAGGGTTAGTGGGCATGTCTTCTTGGACTATGCAAGTGAAGCCATTTATCTTATTGGGCACTCGGATGATGGCTAGGTTTCCAGATGGGTAGCTGAGATCGGATAAGGTCATTTGAGTTATGCTAATGGTCTTCATACTGGGAATAAATTCAATTTATAAGAGAGCCCTTTGAAACTATAAAGCATTCTGAAAATGGGAGGGTTATTACAAGATAATTTCATGCTTTTTATGTGGATCAAAATATATTTATGAGACACAAAAATCCTCAACAAAAAATACCAGCAAATGGAATCTAGCAACATATTAAAAGGATTATGTACCACGACAAAGTGGAGTTTATCCCAGGAATGCAAGGTTGGTTTACCATCTAAAATAAATTAATGAAACATACTATATTGATAGAATAAAGAGCAAAAAACAGATGATCATCTCAATAGATGAAGAAAAAGCATCTGACAAAATCCAATACCTTTCATGGTAAATGATTCAATGAACTAGGAATAGAAGGGAGCCTCCTCAACCTGACAAAGAATATCTAACAAAACCCCAGAGCTAACATCATACTTAATGATTAAAGACTAGGTGTTTTCCCCCTAAGATCAGGAACTAAACAAAAATGTTCACTCTTTCCACTGCTGTTCAACCTCACGCTGGAGGTTCCAGTCAGGAAAATTTTGTGAAAGAAAAAGAAATGAAGACATTCAGATTGGAAATGGAAGAAGTAAAACTATCTCTATTTGCAGATAACATGTTCTTGTATATAGAAAATCCTAAGGAATCCACAAAATAATGTTACAACTAACAAAAGAGTTCAGTAGGGTTGTAGGCTAAAAGATCAATATATAAAAATAAGTTGTATTTCTATACACTAGCAGTGAACATTTTGAAAATGAAATTAAAATAATTCCACTTACAATAGCATCAAAAAGTATAAAATATACTGAGGATAATTCACTAACTGTTAATATTCAGTCCTATCTCAGCTGATCGGAAGTCCAGAGGTGAATTAAACACAAAATTGATTCTGAATCATTTTGAAAATCAGCCATAGCCTTCAAAGGAGTGAAAACGAATTAAAGCCAGGGCAGGAAATGATAACGAATGATACAAGCTGGGGAAGTTATTTAAAATTTTTTGATATAATTAAAACAAAAAACCTACACTCTTTCTCAAAGGGCCTAGGGAACTAAAACTTCATCACACTTCCTATGCCATGAAAGCCATTTTTCTGGTTTCTTAGTGGGGTTTGACTAAACATTTAGGCAACTATGACTAAAAATGACTTTCTCCTACAAAATGAGGCCCTTAGTTCACCAAAAGGTCCTTCTCATTTCATAGTTTCGTTTTACTTTCCTTGAGATATTAAATGGCCTTTGCGTCAAAATAGCAAATGGTCTGATCATCAGGCAGAATTCAAGTGATCAATAACTTGAACACTCAATAACTGAGTGTTCCATAAAATGGATATTGAATTTTTGTATTAAAAAATAACATGCTGCTCATGGATGTGTAAACTGGTACACATTTTCTGGGGGGCAAAATCTATTAAACCTTTAAAATGCCCATAATTTCTTACCCAGAATTTCTATCCCTAGGTATTTAATTCAAGGAAGTAAGTGATAAGTGTGCAGCGAGGTATGCACAAAGCTGTTCATGTAGCTGTTGTATAAAACAGCCAAAAATTGTAAAAACACCTTTGATTAGTGATAGGGGATAGATGAAAGGAATTACAGTACATCACTGTGATGCAATGCCATGTGCTTATAAAGATGGTGTTGTATCTCTATATTTATTGCATATTATATACTCATAACATTTATGAGTATTTATTGTATAATATTTATTGTATAATATTATGTAAAGGGTGCAAGTTACAAAATATAAATAGTTGAAGAATTAATTTTTAAAGAATTATATAATTACTCATAGGAAAAAAGTAAGGCAAGATGTATAAAAAGATGTTAACAGCTTTGCTCTGGATGGTAGAATTTGGTAATAACTATTTTTTCTTCATATTTTTCAATCATTTTTTCTTTTTCTTTTTGTGAAGAAATAAAGCTAACGAAAATAAGTTGTTGAAAGAAAGGATACAATATTTGTGTTGTCCCGTCTGGAAATGAAGTCAGAAACTTGCTCCCATGTTTGTAGTGCTTTTCAAAGAGCTCATTTGTCATGATCTATACACCGTAGAAAACAAAAGCACAGTTACATGATGACAACAGACATTCTTTGCTTGCTAGACACTCACACAAACCATTTCTTAACTTAAATTTTTGATCCTGAATCAGCAACAGGGAACAATCCTTAGGAATCATTAAAGATTGTCCCTAACCCCTGCACATAACCTGATTAAACCTTTCTGGCAGGAATCTGACATTACTTATCTGAAGAGTGTTTTCTGTTTTTTGTCTTTTTTAAAAAATTAAAAACAATTTTTATTCAATAGAACAAGATAGAAGAGAGTGCTCAGGCTTCAGTCAGAATGATATTTTAAGTAATCGTCATCATCATAACAGCAAACACTTTAAAAGAACTTATATGGTAGGTATTTTTTTAATTGAAGTATAGTTGATGTGCAATGTTATGTAAGTTTCAGGCGAACAACATAGTGAGTCACAATTTTTAAAGGTTATACTTCATTTATAGTTATTATAAAATATTGGCTATATTCTCTGTGCTGTACAATATATCCTTGTAGCTTATCTATCTTATACATAGCAGTTTGTACCTCTTAAACCCCTACCCCTATCTTGCCCCTCCCCACTTCCCTCTCCCCACTAGAAAATAGTAGTTTGTTCTCCATGTCTGTGGGTCTGTTTTCTTTTTTGTTATATTCATTAGTTTGTTTTCTTTTAGATTCTACATATAAATGATATAATGCAGTATTTGTCTTTCTCCGACTTATTTCACTTAGCCAAATACCCTCCATCCATGTTGTTGCAAATGGCAAAATTTCATTCTTTTTTATGGCTGAGTAGTATTCCCATATACATATGTGTGTATGTGTGTTATATATGTGTGTATATATATATATATATATATATATATATATATATACACACACACACACCACATCTTCTTTATCTATCTGTTGATGGACACTTAGGTTGCTTCCATATCTTGGCTACTGTAAAAAATGCTGCTATGAACATTGGAGTGCGTGTATCTTTTCGAATTAGTGTTTTCATTTTTTTTCAGTTATACACCCAAGAGTGGAATTGCTGGGTCATACAGTAGTTCTATTTTTAGTTTTTTAGGAACCTCCATACTGTTTTCTACAGTGGCTACACCAATGTACATTCCCACTAACGGTGCACAAGGGTTCCCTTTTCTCCACATCCTTGTCAACATTTGTTATTTGTGTTCTTTTGGATGACAGCCATTCTGACAGGTGTGAGGTGATATCTCATTGTGGTTTTAATTTGCATTTCCCTGATGATTAATGATATTGGCCATCTGTATGTCTTCTTTAAAAGAATGCCTATTCAGGTCTTATGCCAATTTTTCAATCAGGTTTATTTTTTATTTATCTACTTTTACTTTATATGCATATTGTTATAAAAACAAAAGAAGATTAAAAAAAAAACAACCCAGCCCTAGCACAGTGGAGATATTCTGTGTCCTGGTTGTAGTGGTGATTACATAACTGTCAAAATTAATGGAGCTGTACATATAAGAAGGTGAGTTTTACAATAAATTATACTTCAATAAACTGACTTTACACTCCAGTGTAAGCTGCAGCATCTGGTGTCTTTTCAAGGTTGCTCTTGAAGTTCATTTGAGAAAAACACTAGTGGAATATGGGAAGATGAAGAAAGAAATACAAAGAGATATTCCTTGTTGTACCTCTAAGCTTAACTATTTTACTTTCTATGTAATACTCAATAGGGGAATGAATTTGTAGCCAACAATGTTTTATTTTTTTATTTTTTATAGACATGTCTTTTTTAAAAAATTAACTTATTTTGGCTGCATTGGGTCTTCATTGCTGCGGGCGGGCTTTCTCTAGTTGTGGCGAGCGGGGGTTACTCTTCGTTGCAGTGCGTGTGCTTCTCATTGCAGTGGCTTCTCTTGTTGCGGAGCACGGGCTCTAGGCACGTGGGCTTCAGTAGTTGTGGCTCGCGGACTCTAGAGCGCAGGTATAGTAGTTGTGGCGCACAGGCTTAGTTGCTACGTGGCATGTGGGATCTTCCCGAACCAGGGCTCGAACCCGTGTCCCCTGCATTGGCAGGCGGATTCTTAACCAGTGTGCCACCAGGGAAGCCCCCAACAATGTTTTAAAATGAACTAAAGCTTCAGTTGAATTCTGTTTCTTCCTAATCTTGAATTGTAATAAAATGCATACAAGAATTCCTAGGGCTAAACAATCTAAATTTTCATGTAAATGTTGCCATTTATTTTGAAAGATAATACACTTTTCACTTTTATGAAATATAAAATACATTCAGATAAGCACTAAAATATGCTATTTTGTTAATGAGTAATTATAATGTGAACACCCATGTTATCACCATCTGGGTCAAGATATAGAACAATGCCGATACTCTGGAAGTTCCCTCTGTGCTACCCCAAAGTCAGTGTTCTGTAATCTCTAAACAATATAGTTTAATTTTTCCCATTTTGAATTTTACATAAATGGAATCGAACGTTATGAATTTTTAATACTTTGTTTCTTTTAGTCAACATTATGTTTGTAAGATTCATACACTTCCCAGTGTGTAATTGTAGTCCAATTACTTCCATTTGTGTGTAGGATTGTATTGTATGACTTCATCATTATTTACTTATCCATTCTATTGTTAATGGATATCTCGGTTGTTTCCAGTTTTTGGCTCATAAACAATGATACTCTGAACCGTCTTTTGCATGTATGCTGGTACCCAGTTACTCTCAGATCTTATACCCAGAGGTAGAATTGCTGAACCCCAAGATATGCCTGTCTCCCACTTTACAAGGTACTGACAAAATGATTTTCAAGTTGTACCAATTTGCATTCACACTAGAGGCAAATAATAGGGACTGTTACTCTATATCCTTTCCAACACTCAGTAGTATCAGACTTCACAAATTTTTTTTTTTGGCCAATATTATACGTATGTACTGATCTCTAATTGTGGTTTCAATTTTCCTCTCCC